AGGCTGGAGGCCATCGCTCTTAGGCTGGAGGCCATCGCTCTTAGGTTGGAGGCCATCGCTATTAGTACAGAAACGATCAAACAAAACTGTGCTCTTGAAGGTCCCTCGTAAACATCGATGCAGGAGTTCTCTTTCAACGGGAAGGACTCTTGGAAAGCTCCTATTTTGAGACGCACCCATTTTGGGACCCATCATAACTGCAGTAGACACCTTTAGGACTTCCTGTCACCATGGCATTCGCACTGTTGGTGGTCAAATAGTGTTTCCCAAAAATAAACAAAACCGTTGATGTATACACAGAACCCAGAGAATTATAGTTTCATCATTATTCACCCAGTCGAAGCACACAACCTTTTGTTCTTTGAAGGCACTAGGAGATCCACCAGCAGCACTCTGACGCAAGCACTTCCACGTTCACCCCACACCCTCCTGCACAGAGATCCCGCCCAGCGTGGCACAGCCGACATAGCATCCGGTGTTGGAATTGGAAAGCTGCTCCTCGTCGGAGAACAGAACAAACGAGCGGTCACTGCGGTCCCTCTTGGACATCGCTTCTCTTGTCACCTACTTCTCAGATGGAGTGTCCGTCACACCCCAAACGCAGTTGTTCATCGCCCAAATCTACTCTCAAGCACTGCAGCACTCAATAACAGCGCAACACCGTAAATACATGTAAATCCCAGACAGGCGTGTTCGGAAAAGAAGACGGGTGTTCGGAAAAGCGGCATCTCCTGGTGAACTGAAAACGTCCAGTGACGTCCAGTGAGAGTCCACATACCATGAAGTAGGTTGAAACTAAATGGAACATGGCCTTCTGGTTCGAAGCTGCTAAACAAAATAGGACGATTCACTTCCACGTCCGTCACCGACCGATCTGCAGGGGAGAGCACACCAACGTCCTTGTCTAAGCCACCATTCCAGAAAGACTCATATGCCGCTTCAAGCCTTGGCTTCAAAACATCAAACGAGCAGGTCGTATCTTGAATGCTGGCAGGACCCTTGGTCTGAGTTGGAGACCCTGCATCCATCCAAATCCGTCGATTACTTTCTCAAAAATCGTACATGTTACGGCAACTAAGTCTAATAATTACACACAAAAAAATAGGTCCTTTGCCAGCGAGATCTCAACGGTGGTGAGAACGCACCTCTGCAACTTTCCGCTGCAATCCCACGGGAATTGGTACGTCAACTGCACATCGGATTGGCGTCCCCAAGGGCCGCCTCTATCCATAGATGCAAAAAAATGTACCCCGGCTACAAAGGGCCGGGAAAGCGTTTCATAGCATTTCTAGTTACAGTAATTTTGGGGGAACCTGATGACTATACATTCACACCAAGGCACAGGATCCGCTGGTGTGGGTCCATGGCCTGGGCTTCGGCTTCAGCGATGCCGAACATCTTGTTGTCGAAGCCCTGCGCATGGCGCATGAGCAGCGCCGCCGTGTCCATGCTGTTACTGTTGTCACACAGAGCCAGTGTTTTGCGTGGGTCAAGCGAGAAAGTTCAGGCCTGTTTTTTCGGGACTTTGTGGCCTGCGTTGCATTATAAAACATGTATACTGTATATATAATATACGTTAAAAGAGAAAGACAACTGCAGGTGGTTCGCCTTGAAGGTTTCTCTTAATCTAATCCAAGAAAAATAAACACTCCAAAAGTGACATGCTGGTGGAACAGTGTCAGTTTGCCGATGCCTGGTTCTTTTCCGCGAAGGTTTCGTCGTGCTGTTTTGGCTGTCAGTTGCTATTCAAATCTCACAGTCTCTCACTCAGCGCAACGATTGCAGGCCATTCTGCACAGGAGCTATTAATATAGTTCCCTAGTCTAACCTTGCCCCATGCCTCTCAGCTCTGGCCTCGAGCAACCGCACCACTTCCGAGTGGCCATTCTGTGCAGCAGCCATTAACATGGTTGTTCCATCTGCCCTTTTCGCATCCTTGTCAGCTCCAGCCTCGAGCAACATCCGCACCACTTCCAAGTGGCCATTCTGAGCTGCAACAAACAGGGCGGTTACTCCATCTGCCCTTGCCGCATCTTTGTCAGCTCCGGCATCCAACAACAACCGCACCACTTGTAAGTGGCCTTTGAAGGCTGCTCCGGTCAACGCGGTTGCACCATCTGCCCTGGCCGCACTCTTATCAGCGCCAGCCTCTAGAAAAGACCGTACCACATCCAAGTGACCATTAAATGCTGCAACCATCAAGGCGGTTGCCCCATCCGCCTTTGCCGCATCTTTGTCAGCTCCAGCCTGGAGCAATAACCGCACCACTTCCAAGTTGCCATTGAAAGCTGCAACAAACAAAGCCGTTGCCCCATCTGCCTGTGCTGTATTCTTGTCGGCTCCAGCCGCGAGCAACAACTGCACCACTGCTAAGTGGCCACACTGAGCTGAAACAAACAGAGCTGTTGGCCCATTTTCCTGCGCTGCATGCTTGTCAGCTCCAGCCTGAAGCAACAACCGCACAACTTCCAAGTGGCCTTTGAAAGCTGCCACAATCAAGGCGGTTACTCCATGTAGATTGGACACATTCTTGTCAGCTCCAGCCTCGAGCAACCGCTGCACCACCTCCAAGTGGCCGTTCTGAGCTGCAACAAAAAGGGCTGTTGCCCCATCTTGCCGTCTCACATGATTGTCAACTCCTGCCCTGAGCAACAGTTGCACAACTTCCAAGTGGCCATTGAATGCTGCAACAAACAAAGCTGTTGCTCCATCTGCCTGCGCAGCATCCTTGTCAGCCCCAGCCTCAAGCAACAACCGCACCACTTCCAAGTGGCCACTCTGAGCTGAAGAAAATAGAGCTGTTGGACCATTTGGCTTTCCGGCATTCGTGTCAGCTCCAGCCACGAGCAACAACCGCACCACTTGCAAGTGGCCTTGGCAAGCTGCCACGGTCAAAACGGTTGCCCCATCTGCCCTTGCCGCATCTTTGTCAGCTCCAGCGTCTAGCAACAACCGCACCACTTCCAAGTGGTCATTTTGAGCTGCAACGAACAGCGCTGTTGCCCCATCTGCCCTTGCCGCATCTTTGTCAGCTCCAGCCTGGAGCAACAACCGCACCACTTCCAAGTTGCCATTGAAAGCTGCAGCAGACAAAGCTGTTGACCCGTGTGCTTGCACTGCATCCTTGTCAGCTCCAGCCTCAAGCAACAGGTGCACCACAGTCAAGTGGCCACCCTGAGCTGCAACAAACAGGGCGGTTACCCCATCTCTCAATGCTGCATTCTTGTCAGCTCCAGCCTGGAGCAACAACCGCACAACTTCCAGGTGGCCATTCTGAGCTGCAACAAACAAAGCTGTTGCCGCATCTGCCCTTGCCACATTCTTGTCAGCTCCGGCATCGAGCAACAACTGCACCACTTCCATGTGGCCATTGAAAGCTGCAACAAACAAAGCTGTTGCCCCATCTGCCTGTGCTGCATTCTTGTCAGCTCCAGCCTCGAGCAACATCCGCACCATTTCCAAGTGGCCATCCTCAGCTGCAACAATTAAGGCTGTTGGCCCATTGGCTCGTGTCGCATTCTTGTCAGCCTCAGCCTCGAGCAACAGCTGCACCATTTCCAAGTGACCACTCTGAGCTGCAACAAACAGGGCGGTTGACCCATCTTCCCTTGCTGCATTCTTGTCAGCTTGAGCCTCGAGCAATAGCCGCACCACTTCCAAGTGGCCAGCGACAGGTGCAGCCATCAAGGCAGTTACCCCATCTTCCCTTGCTGCATTCTTGTCAGCTCCAGCTTCTAGCAACAACCGCACCACTTCCGAGTGGCCATTGAAAGCTGCCACCATCAAGGCGGTTGCCCCATCTGCCTTTGCTGCATTCACATCAGCTCCCGCCTCGAGCAACAACCGTACCACTGTCAAATTGCCTCGTTCTGCTGCAATATACACAGGTGGAGTGTCAGAGTCTGCACCTCTTCCGTTGGGATTCAGTGGTGTTTGAAGCAATGTTGCAACTTCAACAACTAGATTGTTCTCACACGCAAAGAGTAGTTTCTCCCAAACGGTTTCCTCAGGTGCACAGAAGTCCAGGATTACCAACTGCACACTTGTCAGTTTTCTTACGGGCATATTATCCTGCAGCTCGCCGATGTCGTCGCTCAAGAGCCTTTGTCGAAATCTTGAGTATCCAATCCGACCGGCCAGGAGCTTCTTCAGATCCCCAATAGATGTCCCACTTTCCACCATGCAGCCCAATTCCTCCTCATGGAGCCGGGTGACAGCGTCGCCTGAGAGCGTTCTAATCTCCATTGCTCAAGCCCAAGCCATGGCGGCCAAGATGCAGGCATGATGTGGGTGGGTAGGTCGGCGTCCACGTTCATTAAGATAACTAAGTGGCACTGTGACCGTCTTAGGCCCACAACCATCTAAGAACCCCAAAACTGAGGTTCTACATTCAGGAAGTATGATGCAAGTGATAAATGGCTATGGCTCCAAGCAATAGTGTAAATGAAAACACATTTGTAGGTTTCACTCGACTCTATATCTACTCTTTTGAGTAGACAGCTGCATCAATCCACGGTCACAATTGGCCTTCTGGCAGATGGATTGATCGGTCGACCCCTATGTGTGTCATGGTCACAACTGTCATCCTAACAAATCCCAATGCCAAGGTCCCTATTGGGGGAGTTGTTGTTCAAGGTCCAATAAAGCAAGTGGACGACTATCCCCTTGAATGCATTACAACCAATTATATTTACACCATAGCACTCCAGAACGTCAGGAAAAACATGCATCCTGCATCGGAGCAGCAAAATTCGTGCAACCTATAGAGAATGTGCATTAAAGCTGACTGACAAACATTAAAACAATAAGGCTTGAGTACACTAGCTCCTACCATACGTACCAAACAGCCTGCCTAACGTGAAGCCACTTGCCCATGCCTCTAAACCATAGATGAAGCCGCCAAAGCGCGCATACCTCAAGGCTGTTGTTTTTTAAAGCAAGCCCTGAGCACTGGGACCGAAACCTTGCCAGGCGTTTCAGCTCAAATTCTTGTAAGATCTTGAAAGTCTCCTGTTGGAAAATCTGCAGAACATCCACTGCACAATCACCATGACCCATCTTCCCGCCGCTGAGATCGCGACATTTTCCCGGGCGCTGAGGTGTCGGGGTCGTAATAGAGTTCATTGTCCCATCCTGTGTGAAATTCCACGCGACTCGCACGTGGTGTCTGCGAGCCACCAGGCCAAGCATGTAACCTGGATGGACGTTCTAAGTTTAGCCCTATCAAAACGGGAAAAAACGACTGGGATACACCAAACCCGTAGCCGCTTGGACGATCTGCTGCTGGCGAATCAGAATCGATGATACAAAGCTTGTTCGCTAGGAAGGCCTGCACGGAAGACCATGGATGGGAGGTTCCACATTCCCGATCTACGACTCACAAAGAGGCAAAAACAAACCTGTGGACATCTCTGCATGTAGAAAAGTTCAGGACAAGGGAGCACGGACTTCTGAACTTCAAAAGAAGATCTGGGTGTGTGGCCGCAACCAGATTGGTTCCACAGAATGAAAGAAGAATCCTGCCTACAACAGGGGTTTGGAATCCCCTGCGTGCTGTGTGCAAACGAGCATCTTTCAATTGGCACAGGAGTGATCATGTCCATGCCCGCGCAGATCATGGCCCAATACCTTGCAACTTGGATTCTTGGACAGCTTGGGATTCCATTTGTTCACTGTCCACACGATCTTCTGTCTATTGCCATCTGCCAAGCAGCTCGTTGGATCCATTCCCATGGCATCCGGGGAAGCGTGCAGCCATGCCGATCACCGCCAACGGCTCATTGGCATCCAGGTCTTTCACGCCACCTGGACGGCTTCAGGGTGGCTGACAGCTCAACCTGTGTTTAGATAGTCTGAGCACAGTTATTACTGTAATTTACTGTATATGTCTTGCTTCGGTGAAAACACTTTGGATTCGAGATTATTTTTACGTGGATGAAGCTGGTTCGCACAAGAGAAGGGTGGATGGTGAAACCTGTCCAAGTCATGCTAAGTCTGTGTTGTTCAACGGAGGAGGTCAACCAACGATTCATAGGTCCCCTTGCCGAAAGTTCTTGTTCCAAGTTCCCAGGGCAAGCCAACCAGTAAGGCTAGAACCAACATGGCTGTTCCCCAAAGGTGATAAAGGCACCGTCGATGGTGAAAACATGTGAAAAGCACCCAAGCCACCAAACTCTCATGGAAACAACTTTTGGTGGATCTGAGATGGTTTGAGTCGTTGGTTCTCTGTTCTCTTCCCACTCCACTGGCTCCACTGACTCCACTCAGTCGCCTCCCAACGCCGCGTCCGCTTCTTCATCGCCCTCGCTGAACTGGGCCACGATGTAGTCGGTGAGGTCGGCCACGGTGGGGTAGTCGAACATGACCTGAGAAGACGAAAAACCTTCCAAGGAAAACCCGTGTGATCAGTAGGAGACGACGAGCGTTTTCGGCATTTCGATTGGGTGACTGGGGTCCCTCCCTATTCTCAAGATGCAAGCTGTGTCAGTGTGAACAGCAACTACTCAGAAGATGGGAACAGACCGTCCAGTCATCCACCCCCAGACTCCAAACCTCACGAAGTCTGTGGATCCAATGGGGTTTGCAACTGTGTCGTCCTCTCGAACTGGTTTGCTGGAAGAAGTCAAAAGCATCGACGATTGCAAGTCCCTGTTCAAACCAGGATTATCAACCCCCTGCAAAACTGAATATTTGACATTGATCCCAGTATCTACAGCGATTCCTATAGTACGAGGTTTGGTTGGGCATCTTCCAAGAGGAGCGAAGGAATCACCGTCGGAAGGTTGGTTCAAAGCGGCCTCCCACCCACAACACCTTTTGAGTATCAAAAGAAAAGGAAACATGGAAACAAAATGAAACAAATACCCTTCTCTTCTCTATCACTGGGGGTCACTTGCCTTTGACGATTGCGGACCACCCTGCTTGTCACTTCACCTCTGTGGATCAACATGATCAATCCCATGTCCGACGCATTCCCCAAATGCACACGCTCCAGCTGGACTCATTGCTGCTTCGGTGCAGTGGACGCCAAATGAAGCCCATCAAAAGAGGCCTTGCGTGCACGCGAAAGGCGTAAACAAGTTTGCCTATGCATTAAAAGTCGCAAGTTACAAGTTGCAGCGACAAGGCGAAACCACTGAATTTCAACGGATTGGACCCGAAATCCTGTTGTCCGTGGTTTAAACCGTCAAGAGATTGTCCAATAACCCGTGGCACATAGAATCTTACCCCTAAATCGAATCCAGCGAACATCTTACATGTTGGTTTTATGTGGCTTCCGTATTGTCCTGGAGAGACCTCAGTCCCAAAGATGATGGGTTACAGGAGGCAAGAAGCCCTGCAGGTTCACCACTGCCGATAGGACTTACAAACACCAAACTCCAGGCTTTTGGAACCCAAATGAGATCCAGTACAGTAAGGCCTGATCAAGCCAAAATATGTCTTGCAGATTTGGCCATGGAAAATGGACAAATGACAGGGCTAGCGGCTAGCATGAATAACCATAATTATATAGGTTGAATATGGCTGAATTGAATTGTCCAAGAAATTGGCTTCATAGCAATCCCTCCAAAGGTACCCAGTTGCATCCCCAAGCAACATCCCATGAAGAGTCCTTAAAGAGCCATCCCTAGCCACCTTACCACCTCGTACCGCACGCGCACGCACGCCAAGGAAGCGCCTGCACGCGGTTCCGGAACTCCACAGCAGAGAGAGAGTCCAAGCCCATGTCCATCAAAGGTACTGAGAAGTCGGACAAATCCGCATCACCTGCGTTTGATGAGCTGTCTTGTGGACAATTTGTCGGGATTACGACATGTTGCGAAGTCTCCCCAAGGGGTACGAAGCAGTACGCATGGCAATACACCCACCTTAGGATATGAACTGAAATATAATTATCCGGTAGATGTGGTAGCCCCTTCTTGAAAAAGTTCTATGAGAAAGAAAAAGCAACTGTGACTTCCCAGCACAACCTCCCCGGGCCCGCCACCCCGCCTAAGACATCGCACAAGACGTTGATGATGGTGGAGTTGACCAAATCCTCACGAGCAACCCGCTCCACGGTTTTCTTAGCGATGGATGAGCTTGACAAGTTGACGCGTTGAAACCTTTCGATTTATCCAGATCCTGAAGCCAGCAGAGTGACACTCCGTATGAAACTCTAGATCCAACGGAACGAAGTCCCGAGACTTGCGAGCAAAGAGACCTCGCGAAAACATCACATCGCTTCAAACATCGTTGACTGATGCGCCCGCCCATGAGTCCGCAAGATATTCCAAGAGTGATCCATGGTGGAACCAACCACAATACGGGCCCATGGAACCCCGGATGTCCTTTACGCACCAGTGACTCGAGGTTTAATGAGGTCTCAAGATAGGATAGACCCCCGCACAAAACATCACAAAACGCTGTTTGAAAAGGCAGGTAACATTCCACTCAGTACCTTTGCGGCGACATGTGTCAATTTCAGAGGAGGAGTGCAATACCCAAGGTCAAGGTTAAGTTTGCTACTATCTTGTGCTACTTTCCTCTAGGCAGATCTGCTCGACCACACAAAAGGTCCTTGGGCACACCGCCACTCATCTTAACGCCTGTGGTGCAAATGCTGCACTGGATGATCATGAATGAATGGAGGCCCCCGTACCAACAACACGTGTGTTCTTGTACAGGAGTATTTGCAGGAAACCCTCCCTTTGGGCACGAACAATCAAGTTGTCTTGTTACTAGCACACTGCCTGAACTAGCACATCCATCCTGGTGCATTAAGATGGACAAACCACATCCTGCAACATCTCACCACAAAAGAACAAGGCAGAACTAACAATACAAAGACCCATCTTGATATGGCAATCTACTATATAATTCTATAATACACTCCCTGGAACTAACATGGAAGTGGAGAATGGCCCCTTGGAAGACCATTTTCCCCTACAAACAGGTGGTTTTCCACTTCCATGTTAGTTTTCGGGAGTGTACATATCTGGGCTTCCTTCCTGCGAAGACTCAAGAGGAGACCTCTCTTCAGCCTGTTCAAAGGCTGTACCAGGCTTATGTAAAGGCACCAAGGGATACTGGGTTTCATGCTTGTCATCAAGCAAAGGGGTGTGTCTCTCACAATTCCCCCAGACAAACACCCAGACACCACGGGTCACTTCACTTTGTTTAACCCCTGTAGTATATCCCCAAGTATTCCAGTACTTCACGTCACAATATAAATCTGAATAATTCAGGGTGTGGATCAAAACCCGGAACCCCCAAGACATACCATGTCTGGGTGTGTCCAGTCTTTCTTTGATAAGGACCATACCACCCCAGTTCCCTCAAAGAGAGGAGGGCTTGCTGGTGGCATCAGATACGTTACGCTTAGGTATTTTCGTATGACTGTCAAGTGGTCAGCAGGGGCGCTGCCATGACCGACCAATGACCGTTGCATTTTTAACCGTGGCCCTGCCTCAGGGCGACTAGCTTGCTCCTGGCTAGTAGGACGCTACTAGTAACTGGACGCAGGATAGCTCACGCTTCTTCAGGGAAGCTCCCCCCCGCTTCTTCAAGGAATCTCATTCTCGTGCTGAATTTCTCGGCGTCGTGGTGAAGTGTGGTGTCCGAAGGGGAGAATGACCGTACGTGAGTTTTAAGAGTGCCTAAGACGTACGGAATATGCAGGGATTTGGGGGGGGGTACTGTGGACCTCAGAACACAATCCTTTGTTGTTCTCATGGCTAACTGCTCAAATCCTTCACAGGTCAGGGGTGGCCCATCGAACTGCGCGCCTGAGGACTTCTTGTGATGCTGGAAATTCTCCAAGAAGGGCGGCACCTGAACCGCAAGTGACGAAGGATACCCAAGGACAACACCGAAGGTACGATTGTTCGACAGGAACATCTACAGTCTACAGGAAAACATATGTTTTTTGGGTAAGAAAACAGCCACTACTCCTACAGATGTTCCTGATGGAAAAAAATCTATGAAAAAATACGCTAAAAAAGTTCTCCTGCTGGCCAGAACCCTACTGGCACCGAAAGATACCCAAAGAATGAACCGTCTGCCTTGAATAATCGGGGATGCCAGGTGAAAACTCATGGGTTGCCATTCTTCGGGTGCCTCGCATTGACGGTGAGGAAGAATTGTTCTACTATGTTCTACTAAGCTACTTCTTCACAGCACAGGCATTCCGTGCTTTGGAAGCCTAGCCTCTCCGAAGCTGGTGCGAGGATGTGACAGGACCCGGAAGCCCAAGAACAACCCATCGAACGCCACACCAGGCCCTAGGCTTTGTCTCAGACTCCCTAGCCAGCCATGTTGCTGGTCAATTCCGACACACAAAGAATTAACCAAATGGGTTACGGGGTGGTAGTACTCTCATCCAGGTGACCACCGATCCTATCACAAGCGAACCCCAAGAACTTCACCTCTGCTACCCGGTCCCACCTTTGGCTGCGCTGCCAGGAAAGCAGACCAGTTGAGGCGCGCCACGCCCACCAAGCTGACCGGCAACGAGAGGATCGCAGCCATCGCCTACGGCAAGTCCACGTGTGACGATTACGTTCAGCGAGGAGATGGAGAGGGAGGATGAGTCGTGGATGAGTGGAGATGGGTGAGGTCTGTCGAGTGAGATTGGGATGATTCAAGGATGTTCAAGGGCCTCAAGGGCTTTGGAGAACTCCCCTAGGAACACAAAACCTGCAGAAGACTGTCAGAGCAACCACCAAGCGGGCTCCCACACTCGCGCAGCGGGGCTGATCTCTCTGTGTCCGCCCGTGAGTTGCTCAGCTTCTATAATAAGAACTAAGCGCTCAGACCCACTCCACAAGAAATGTTCTCATCCCTTTGTGAGAGAATCAGACTGGGTCTGCTGCTCAACCCAAGATTCAAGTAAGTCCGGAGTCTCAGAGAACCTATGCAACAACTCATCACTTGACTTGTCCTCTGTCATATCAATTTGCTGGAGCCCCATGCCCACAAGTGACTCCACTGACCCAAATGTGCACCCAATACTCCCATTGGGTCATTTGAAAGTTAATAGAGGCAAAATGTCGTTCCATCACGAACTGTTAAGGGGCACAGCCAGATTTTCGCCATCTCAGAACCTGGGCTTTTAGATGGTGAAGCCCTGAAACCCTCTTATGTGTTGATCGACTGGGATCAGAACCTCCCACTGCACTCAAAGCCGCACCTGCAAGCTGGCGGCCGGATCCAGGCGCAAGTAGCCGCCACTCTCAGTGGTGCCCGCACGTGCGGCCATACCCACTTCTGCCCAGGGGCCCCACTGCACTGATACAGCTGGCAGGCCTGGTGCGAAAAGAGATGGGATAGAGAATGGAGATCTGGAGAAGCTAAGGAGGAGGTTAGATGTTGTTGGTAAATTCAAACTTATCAACATCATTAAACTGCATCATACAAAGTGAGAGAGAGAGAGAGAACACAGGCAGGAAGGGAGGGAGGAAAGATAGGGTGAGAGTTTGGTAAGGATGGGGTTTGTGAGATATGATATAAGTTATAAGCGAAGCAGGTTCGCCCTCCTGCGCTTCAAGAAGAACCATCCACTCCCATCGCTCATGACGTGCCGTGCCAAGGGGGGACCTTGTGTCCTGTCCTGGTATTCTAACAGGACTTTTCTGGGGAGAGCTAAAGTCAGACTGTACAGTCAGAAATTTGATCCAGAAAAAAAACCAACCGTTTTGAAGCATGGTCAAACAATCTCAAGACGATGCGTGCGTGGCGAGCTGTCCTGCAACGCGTGGCTTTGGTTCTTGTACTTTCAGACTCAGTTCAGCCTCTACTGAGATGGTGAGTTTGGCAAAGGCTCATCTTAAGGACTCAAGACATCCAATGACCCTCCAGTTGGTGTTGCTGGTAAGATACATTGACGATGCCCTCTAGTATTGGGAAGACGAGGGCTGGGGACACTCTCCGTGATCCCAGTCCTTTTTCAGCAGCATTCTCGGGCATTCAATGAGTCAGATTATACACATAGTCAAACAGGTCACCGATATCATCGGTATACGGAAACTCTTCGTCTGGAATTGGACGGTCTAGAAAATGTGCCAAAGAATGCCATCCATCCGTCCAGTTGTAGACCAGTAGTCGCTCCGGTGGTATCACCTTCTGCACTCGTTCGTTGTGCTGCTCATAGCTTCGGATGCAAGCCTCAGGGAAGCATCGAGTGGGTTCCAGTTCGCCGCTGCAGAAAAGAAGCATCCAGTGAAAGCTTGAAAGGTGCTATAGTCCACTTGTTACTAGTAGCTTCTTGCTACTAGTAGCGATGCACTTGTTACTAGTATATAGCGATGCACTTGCTACTATTAGCGATGCGCTTGATACCCTTTGTACTTGGCAGGAAGTCTTATTGAATTTGTTTTTTTGGGGGCACGGGCATTTCAATGAAACAAGCGCACATAAGTAGGGCATCTGTGATTGTGCATTGGACTAGGATAGAACAGTGCGACCCCAAAACCACTGGACTTTTGGTCTGTGTTCCCTTTTGCCAGGGGTCAAACCTCCATTGTGGGTCTGTGTCACCTGCATTGAATGAGGTACTGTATTTAAAGTTCATTGATTCTGACTGACATCTCCATGGAACTAGGGTGACAGAGCGGGCTCCCATGTCCATCCCCGGTCGCTCTTGACGACCCTCATTAATCACAGTGTCACCAGCGTTGTTGGCTCTAGATCATTTGAGCCAACATCCATGTCAAGTCAGCCTGCAATTGGAACTCTATGTGTCACGAATTGCCAGATGAGTCCAACCCATCCCAGGTGGCCCAGAATTTCTTTAAGTCTGTGAACTGACCGATGAAACCCCGGAACACCTAGCATACTGGTGAAGGAAGTGTGTGAACAATGATCAGTCAATTTCTCAACAGGAAAATGAAAAAGCGACGACCAACCCGTTGGGGATGGGGTCTCCCTGTTTCCAATGCAAACATTGAACCCTCCCCTCTGTGCTCTTCGGGCCTCTTTGCTCTCTGGGGAAGGTGCAGGGTTGCTGAAGTCGCAACCCCACAGACGCATGGCGGAGCAGGCATTAAAGTAGTAATCTTCCTCAAGCAGGGTTGGTTGATCTTGCCTTCTTTCAAAGCAGCTCTTCATGGGCTGTTCACCATGATTTGTTGGAGTCGAAAAAGATGTGTGAATGCATTCCGTCACCAGCGCCGCGCCCTCCCTCTATATAAGCTTCTCCAATCAAGAAAAGGGGATCAGCAGTCGAACTGGGCCCTGAACTCGGGAGAAGACTTTGCACAAATCTGTTGGGGACGATTCGCACGCATACCTACCTGTACAACCACGGCCGTGTTAGATTGTTAGATCAATCCTGGTCAAAAGAACGGAACCCGTGATTTAAGAAAATGCATCACCCAATGTCCGATAAAGCCTCGAGAACCCTTGGATCATGGTGAACCAATGATCGACCTCTTTCGGAACCACCAATCGATCAAGGCAAAAAGAACACAGTCCGGCTCCTTGGAACTATCATTCTTGACCACGATGGCTGCGTCTGCTTGCATTTCTTGCAGAAGCTCCCAGTAGTTCTGGTACCAGCTCTCTTTCTCCTTGATGGTCAAAATAAACTTAGCATCTGGAAATGCTGCCAGGACCTCAGTCCAAAAAAACATTGATTGTCTCAATCAAAGTGGTCCTAGTATATATATATATATATTGAAAATGGAGTAAATGTTGGAAGACAAACCCAGTGTAACGATGCTCTATAGGGAGACTTATAACTGCAGGACGACTAAGATGTCGCATGAAAACACATGAATTACTGTAAGCACCTATCGGGAAGTCAAGGCGAAACATCTGGCGGGTTTCTGGGTTTTGACTCACAGCCTCACAGCCAAATTGAACAAGAACTGAGGATCCAAACGGGGCAAAAAGGTACTAGTTGGCGCTCGAGTCACTTCCTCATAGATCAACATAAAAGGCTCGTCCATGGCCACGTCAAAGCCATTCAGCAGTGCCAAGACATTCTCCAACCCACCATCACCCAACACGTACTTACAGACAGGGGGGCGAGATGTATGCCTGAACTGCGGCAAGTTGTTGCAGCGAAATGGATTACACTCCGACTCGACTACCATACCAGCTGAAATCAGGGAAACCGTGCCATAATTATAACTGTTTATAGTTTATAGTGTTTTGGTGCAGGACCGGGAAATCTTCCATCGTCAGCATGACTAGCACACCTGATGGCAATGACAAACCATTTGCTTGTGGAATAAAAAGTGTGGAGAATATCCCAGCCCTCGCAGAGTTTTGCGCACCAATGAACACATGTATCACCGCGCAACAATCGTTCTTGAAGAAAATAGACTACTCTTCTCTGAGTCGCGGATGGTAGCCACTGTGCAGTGGATTCAAGCCCAAGATTCGAAAGGCTGTGTACATGGACTGCGTGCCTTGGATTGTCTGGATCCTCCAAACCTGTCCAAACTCTTGGTAGACAGAATTCTACATATACATCACCTTTCAAGGGAGTCTATGATGTTCACCACTGGTGTTCAACTCTGGCCACACTTCGAACACATGAGCTGCCAAGCGGATGAAGGGCCCACCTTGCGCGGGCCATGATCAGTTTAAAAAAGGGTTAATCATGTCATGGCAAAAGTCCGGCCACATCGTTCGAAGAAACAAAGTGACAGCTAAGCAAATAAATCCCAGGGTGCCAGTTCGAGGCGCACCCACATCCAGCAGAATTGCATCACAGAATGTGCAAAGCGATATGCAAAGGAAACGTAGAGTCCATCGGTCCATGGAGAGAAACTAAACGGAATCACCATGCAAACACCTCTACAGGCGTGATCATTCGGCTGGGGGTTTTCAGCCGAAGGAGCCTTGAGCCCAAGAGTGCACGCGGGCATGCGTCGCTGATCCTGGTAAGCTGCTTATAATAGTACTGGACTCACAGATAGAATATGGACCAAATCCAAAAAACTATTTGGTCCATATTCTATATAAGTGCAAGCAAAGTGAAGTTGCAGTTACACAGATAGAATATTAATTTATGAAATATATGTTGTTGAGTTGATTGATACGCAATAATGGAGACGTCAATCGCTATTGGTTGGACAAGCTGCCATAATCTGATTGCTTTTGGCTGTCACAGTGCGAAGATGTACGATGTACAATCAGCATGACTGAAGCAGCATGTATATGTAATTTAACAACCCGAATATTCTATGTGCAAAAAAATATTCTATCTGCACACTTTAGATCTATTTGTTTTTTGTACTTGGAAAATATTCTATGCGCACACCAAATAGTTTTTCATATTCTATCTGGTCGTCCGTCACTATACCCATTTCCAAGACTGGCTTTACAACATGTTACTACCTCTCGCACATCGGTCCGAGTCGATGTCATGCCGGACACTCTGGTCCGAACATGGGAGTTTCCCCAAAAGAGACATGCAATCACCACTCATGTACAGGGATCAGCCACGTCTCAAGGCGGCGATCCGCACCTACACAAAACAGCTGTGCAAGCATCGTGAGGCCTTTGGCCGACACATAAGGTGCTGCACCTTCGATGCATCCCTGGGGCAAGATGCGACCACATGCTCGTGGCTTTGTCGAGTTGAAGCAACCTGGAAATGGCTGGGCCTTGTCAGACTTGTGAAGGAAAAGCAGGGCCTCTCTCAAGATCTTGTACAAATCACGAAACGTGAGGTCAGAAATGTCACCTGGCATACGATGACCTTCAGCGTGGAATGCAACTGCAATTTCGCAAAAGGAAATGGACTCTTCTCCAGAACATTTCCACTGCAAGCCACTCAGAAAGTTTACAACAACTTTCCAACCGTCATTTCCGTGCCGCCATGACTTCGGTGGTGCAATATCAGAAGGAATCTTTGGTTTCCATCGAAACTGTGTAATCGGTGTCGACCAATGCCACTGTGGGTAAAGGGCCGCCGCTTGACACTCTGTTAGCTTCTCAGGAAGTTCAATGACACCCTCGTCGGTTACACCATCATTTGTGTCATTCTTTGTGGGGAGCATGGCATGCAACACTGTCAACCAATGCTGATGTTTGAAAATTTCTTGCTTGGCCTGCCGGTGGACCGTACCATCAACTGGTGAGAGCCGATGGGCAAGATGTTTTGCAACTCTGTCTGCAATACGATTCATCAAAATATGCTGTCTCGTGGTTGCAAACTCACGTGCTTGTTCCTCAGTAATCATGATGTCCGGGGTGTTCTCAAGGACGTGGGCGGGAATCCAAGTTACATGGAATGGCTTGGGATGACTTCCACGTCGAATTTCGCACAATGCTTTAAACTTCCTCCACCAGGC